TCTTCTTCATGCTCTTCTTGTTTTTCCTTTCACCCTTCTTCAATTTGGGACATTCATTTCTATAGTGCCCCATCTTGTTGCACTCATAGCATTTCACACTCCTTTTGGTAGACTCTCCTTCATCTCTTTTTGCAAGCTTGTTCTTGATGTTCTTCTTCATGAATCTCTTCACTTCCTTTGAAATCAATTTGGTGATGTCCTCCTCATTGCTAGACTCATCATTACTAGCATCATCTTCACTCTCTTCCTTTTGGTTGCTAGCCTTGAAAGCCACATTCTTCTTCTTCTTCTCAACTACTTCAACTCCACCATCAACTTGAACTTCTATCTCATATGTCATCAATTTTCCAATGAGATCTTCAAGCTTGAGGGTGTTGAGATCCTTAGACTCTTCAATTGCGGTCTTCTTAGCTTTCCAATTCTTGGGCAAGCTTCTAAGAACCTTCCTCACTACTTCTTGAGAAGGATAGACTTTCCCAAGAGCCTTGAGATTGGTGACTATATCATTCAATTTTGTATACATATCTTGAATGCTCTCCTCCGGTTTCATCTTGAAAAGCTCATACATGTAAATGAGTCTATTGATTTTTGACTCCTTCACTTGGCTTGTTCCTTCATGTATTACCTCCAACATGTGCCACATCTCCTTGGCCGTATCACATCCAGATACTATATGGAATTTCGTTGGATTGAGAGCACATTGAAGCATATTGATTGCTTTGTTGTTGATCATGATCTTCACCAAGTCTTCATCATTCCATTCAATTTCTTCCTTTGGCACCTCACTTTCTCCAACTACTTTCATAGGCACATATGGACCTTTCATAGTCACAATTCATGCCTTGGGCACATTTGCAAGCATGAAGACCTTCATCCTATTCTTCCAATAATTATAATTAGTACCATCAAAGAAAGGAGGTTTAGTGGTAGACAAACCTTCAAGTGGTTGAGAAGATAGAAATTGAGCCATCCTTGATCAACTCCTAAGTGGTTAAACCTTCAAATTGGAGCCCTTGCTCTGATACCAATTGTTGACTCAATGTACTCCAAGAAGGGGGGTGAATTGAAGTTCCAAAAATTCTCCCCTTTTTGCAACCACAAAACCAAAAATAAAGAAAGTAGAGAAGAAGAGCTTGCTCAATGATTTTATAGAGGTTCGGTCCAACCACTTGGAACCTAGTCCTTTACCTTGGCTTCACTCACCAAGGATTTCCTCCACACTCTCCATTAACAACAAGAAGGATGGCTTAAAGGAGCCACTCAATTCTTTTACAAGAAGATGTGTGTTTCTCTCAAATCTCAACCCTTTACACTTAAACCCCACGAATCCTCTCTACAAATCACTCTTAAAGGATTAATCACACCCCCAAGATCACTCACAAATAGAACAAGAAGAGAATTACAAAAAAAGATCTCTCAAAGATCAAAATCTCAAGTTAAAGCACAATTTGGTAGGTAAAGATATTCAATACAATGCTCTCTAAACTTGTTCATATCTGTTACCAACCATATTTATAGCCCCTTGCTCGAAAGTAGTCATTTCTAACCATTGGGGGTCATTAAATGCTCTGCAGGACGCATGGCTCGAGTTGCAGAACTGTCAGGAGAGCCGGCTTAACTTCCTAGAGCCGGTTCTTCAGAACCGACTTACACTTCCAGAGCCGGCTATCCGGGTTTGCAGGCCATTCTGTTTTCCTCGAGAACCGACTGCAAGACTTTGAGCCGGAGTCACGCCCCAAAACCCGAATTCGAGGCGCGACAGACACCATGCACTCATAAGAGGGTCCCACAAATGCACAAGGCTCGGAACTTATCATATCATAATCTGATACCATCAAAATCTGAAGATCAAATCTTTAAAATTTCTCCGATATCATAAATCTCCAAATACACTCTAACTTATAAAATCACGATTTATTTCTAAAATCTATATCAATCTCGAAATGGCTAGCTTTCTAACTCGTCACTTCCCGTGATTTCCCCGTCCTCGGTTTCACTTTCTGAAATGGTGGACAAGGAAAACCTATGAGATAAACTCAGTAAGTAAATATGGAGTGCCCCTTATTAAACTTATAGCATGCCAACATGTGCAATCACGCAAAACGGATACAATACGGGAACGAAATGGACATCTCCTCTATAGGTCATGGCCAGTGTATTAAACTTCCCACTGGCAGGCACACAATTTATTAGTGTATAATCCCCACTAGCAGGGTCACTTGTGCGAACCGGTTCTATCGCTAACATATCGACATGTGCTAGCGTTTAACCCCCACTAGCAGGATCATCAATAACATATCGACATGCGCCGACATGTGCTAGCGTTTAACCCCCACTAGCAGGATCATCAATAACATATTGACATGTGCCGACATGTGCTAGCGTTTAACCCCCACTAGCAAGATCATCAATAACATATCGACATGTGTCGACATGTGCTAGCGTTTAACCCCCACTAGCAGGGTTACAATAACATGACCACATCGAAGACAAAACAGGCAGAAGTTAACAGGAAAATCACAATTCACCAATCACTTTCAAATCATCAGGACAATCACTTAAATTTCAAGTAGGCATGCTCAATTTAATGAAAAGCATAAAAATTGCACTTCAAATCAGTCATACTTACTTTTGCATAAAACGGGTTTAGTCCTGCCACAACTTCAAAAACAAATCAAAACATGCTTTTAAAAACAGTACAGGCATTACCATAAATTTACTTACCTTACTCGCATAAAACCAAGCACTCAATCTCAGTGCTAACTGACAGAACGATCAATAACCTAATCAAAATATCCAGAATTAATGATTGTACTATCACAAATTCACACTAAAATCATCATTAAGACCACCCTTAATCACGATGCTATTTCCTATCAATTTCCACATGATCAAATATCTCCAAATTCATTCTTATATCACAAACTAATCATTTAAATCTCCGTTAATTGTTGGCCCTCGTGGTGTGAACAGTAACCCGTGAACAGTGCCTTGAACAGTAACCACGACGTGAACAGTAACTGCACTTCCGAAATTGGCCAAAACACTAGCTAATTCACGGGATTTTCTCTCCAAAAAATCACAACAATCTAAATCAAGCTAATGTACACTTAAACCAAGCTTAAAACATGTTCAAAGGCTACCGGAATTCCTCCCTATTTTCTGTAAAATTCGGACATCACAAGGGCAGCCAATCCATGGACAAAATTCAACAATTAAAGGGGTAAATTAGGACTTAGATGGGGCTGCCACTTACCAGAATTTGCAAGCAAGGAACCGAAGCTGCAGGGAAAAGAAACCGGTGGCAAGTGCAGGAGAAATTCAAGGGAAATCTACTGAAAATTGGAGGAAATAAGAGCAATTAACGTAAACCCAAGGCAATTCAAAGAAGAACAGAGGGATTGGTAGCTGTTTCTTACCCAAAACCGGAGCAAATCACCCCCACAAAGCAGGAGCAGCCGACAGAAGGACAGAGCAAAGTAGAGCAGATCCGGATTCTGCAGAGGGGTGGGGGGAATTTCTGGGTTCTAGGTGTGTTCTAGAGCAAGAAAAGAAAGAGAAAACCAAGCTTTCGCACCAATTTTCCAAGGCATGGCTGGGTTCCTCTTTTTTTTTTCTTTCGAGTGGCTGCAGCGGGAAGAAAGGAGAAGAAGAGCAGAATCGGGCAAGGCTGGGAAGAAAGAAAGAAAGAAAAAGAAAAAGGAAAGAAGCCATCCTTATCCAATTATTTTCCCTCTTTTAAGTCCCTCAAGTTTGGGAATGTTGGCTATTAAGCCCAAAACAATATTTTCTCACAATCAAGTCCCTAACTTAAATGATAAAATTCCCGAAAATTTGAGATATTACAGCCGGCTTTGGAATTCCGATTTTAAATACATTAAATACTCTTCAAAAGAGTCGACCGTTGTGCATTAAATGCACCCTCACAGCCAGCTATAAAGTTGGAGCTGGCTTTGCGTCTTTTCTTTGCGCCCGCCAAACAACGGTCTTCAAATTTTTGCCCGTAGAGCCGGCTCTCTGTACTTCCATTTCACCAGAGCCGGCTGCAGCTTTTAAGAGCCGGCTCTCTGCACATTTTGAATCCTTTTGGTCTATTTTTAATGCAATCCAAGTTTACTTGCAATCTTTTAGCAACTTAACTACACACTTAAATAAATCAATTAGTCACTCAAATGTATTTTGTAATCATCAAAATCATAGGTACAACAAGATTCAAAATTTTAAATGTTTAAATAGTAAATGAAATTTAATTTAATGATATTGTTCTTTCCTTTTTCTTTTTACTTTTTATAGAAATTGTTTGATGTTAAAAGATTTAAATTAAAATTTTTATTTAATTTTTGCAAAATTACTAATTATTACATTCAACTTTTAATTATAAATAAATTAAAAAAATTGAAATATTAGCAATAAAGATTATAGAGTTTAGTGATTTAACAATTGGTGATGTATTTGAGATAGTAATAATGAGCATGACTTCCAGAAACTACATACTTACTTTGATGAATATGCTCCTCATTTAAGGCAAAATAAATGAATTAGTAATGATGCTTCATCTATTTAACATTTGTCTTTATTATGGATTTGGTTTAAGACTTTTTTTTTTTTAATTCAAGACTTATTTTGTAGTGAATTTAGTTTAAAATTGAGTTTTTTCTTATTATCATACTTGATGAACTTATATTATATATTTTAATATTTGTTAGTTTAAATCTTAAAAATTATATGTATTTAATTAAATTTGTTATGTTAAATGGTCTAAATGATGATTTTCAAGTTGATCTTATAATGACTATTTTTTAAAAATAAAATGAAAGTAATATACAATAGTAAAATTTAATAAATATGTTAAAAAAATTGTTTTTTAAGTTGATTGGTTGGGCTGGTAAGGTGAACTGATTCAATCGGTTCAACCAAACCCGATAGCCAAACTAAGTCAACTACCGGACCGTGCCCAAAAACACCGATTCAAGGTTTAGGACACTGTTTTAAAACTCGAACCGAGCTGATCGTTCTAATCGATTGAACCAAAATCGATTACAAAATCGGTTCAAGTTATTCATAAACCCAGTTTGTAATAAGACCCAGTCAAACCCGGTCAAAACTTAGAAAACCCAGGCAAACTCGTTGACTTCTGAACCAATGAGCCATCCGATTCATAAATTTTGAAAACTTTCAACAAATTTGTGCACTTAAGGGAATTCGAACCCCACTCCTTCAACACTCATTTTGAAGTTTTCACCATTGGGCCATCAACACCACTATTG